AGTATTACAGAAAAGTGTTTCAGACAAAAGTTGTAGGGTTCCAAAAGATCTATTTACTGATCATATCCGTTTGACCTTGCGTGGCGTCTTCAAGGTCAGGTCAAGGTCAGATCAATTTTTTTAAATGAAACACCTTATTTTTCATTGCATTTTCTTATAACACATCTCGAGAGCTTTCCAAAACACTATAATAAAATATTTTTTTATTAAATACTTTTGGAGTTATAAGGCTTGAAAGTTATAGTACCGCCGGCATTAGCATTACGCAAGGTGTCTCGACCGACGGCTAAAACCTCTTGAATGTCGTTCAGAATCATGTCCTGGATAACATTTGGATCAAAGTCACTGGAGATTGTTTCTTTTATTTTCGTTCTTGCACCGAAAATTCATTTTTATGTAAAAATGAAAATAAGAAACAATTTTCAATGATCTTGATCTTGACAAATATTATCCAGGACATGATCTTGAACAGCATTCAAGAGGTTTTAACCGTCTGTCGGACAATTTGCGTAATGCTAATGTCAACTGTACTGTAACTTTCGAGCCTTATAACTCCAAAAGTATTTCATGAAAAAATATTTTATTATATAATAGTATTTTATATATATATTTTATATATAGGAAAGCTCTCGAGATGAGCTATAAGAATATGCAATGAAAAATAAGATGTTCCATTTAAAAAAATTGATATGATCAGTAAATAGATCTTTTGGAACCCTACAACTTTTGTCTGAAACACTTTTCTGTAATACTTATATTTTCTATGATATTCAGGTGTCCCGGTACTTTTTCCCTACTCTGTATATGCGTGCGTGCGTGCGTGCGTGCGTGCGTGCGTGTGTCGCGCTGGTATAAATATATACAGTAATATATACGTCAGTGATAACAGGCCGTTATATCCATTTGCTGCTATAGAACATTTTATGTTATTACTTGGTAAGATAAACATTTAGTTTGTCGAAATGTGGCAACGCAGACTACAGTTTTGAACAATGATGTAAAGATTCCCGTACTCGGGCTTGGTACCTGGCAGGCAGGCGTAAGTATATATAGCAGTACAATGGCTATGTTTATACCGTGCTTAGTTCGCGACCTATACGACAGGTGTCTTTGTTTAACCTACAGGATAAACAAGGACATCTATTGTATAGGCCGCGGCCTAAATGCACGGTGTAAACGTAGCCAATAACTAGGATTGGGTAAGTTAATGTTTTTTTTTTAACTGAATAAAGTTAAAGTTAATGGCTTTACAAAATTAATAAATCTAAGTTAAAAGTTGAAGGAATAAAAAATGAACTTAACGAAAGTTAAGTTTTAAATTAACAAGTAAAAAAAAGTTAATTTCGAAAAAAATTATTTTTGAGGTCAAAATGTCCTAATTTTTTTAAAAATGAGATTAAATAACTACAATATAGATTATTAAGTAAATTAAATTTTTAATTTTTTTCATATATGATACATATAATTATAGAACTATATAAGTTATATAACGATAAAAAAAACAGCTACCATAGAGAAGATATAATATTAGTAATTACATTTTTAAAAATTACATTTTAAGTTGAAGATAAACTATCAATAAGAATACAACGTATCAATAATGACAAAATATTAAATAATAACAAAACTTATAATTCCTTAGAATCACATACATTGCAGAATCACGTGTGAAAATTAATAATAATAA